AACAATATATATTAATTTTTAAAGTATCAAATTGAATTTTTGTTCAATAAAAATCTTTAAAATGTGACTGTAGCTTTTTTTTTCTCCAAAACTTTGTCTTCAAAATAAAGGTGCGTCTTATATTTTGAAAAATACGGTAAACTATTTAAACCCTAAAGGTGTCACACGTTGGATAAGGAATTCTACGCGTGCTCTTTATAGTTCAATACTGATTCTTCCATGATGGTTTGTTTGGAAGGAAGAAACAAGTCGTCCTAAATCTCCCACCTATTAATTAATGGGCTGAGTGATTTGATGTCCCCGCTACTTAAGAGTATACAAGCCTAATAGCTCGTCAAAAATGACGGGGCAAGTACTACCACCCCATCCCATACTACAACCTAACCTTAAATTTCATAGCTAACTGAAAAAAATACATTTTGTGAAATCAAGCTTGACCAACAAAGAAGCAGAAAAGTGCAGTAGAGGTAGTCAATCGTCGGTGAATTCCTTTGTGAGCCAATCAAAATTAAGATCATTCGTGAAATGAATTCGTGGCGTATTCATAGAATAATTACATGGGCCTGCGAATTTAAACTTCATAAAAGTTGTTTTGGTTTTAATAACATATTTTTCATAATTCAATTACGCAGCTTTCGAAAATAATATTCATATTTTTTCTATCATGTAAGGATTTTATACAAATCTGGAAGAAAAAGAAAACTCTTACTTAGATCAAATTAATATTTTATTTGCCACAATGAACATTTTTATTATTATGTTTGTTAAGTTTGGGTTTTAGAACGATGATAAGATTCTCACGTTGCGATTGGTCTAGAGAAATCTATAGCCAGTAGTTGTCAACATTTTAAGCATAACAAAATGTGATATGATTTCAATGAAAATGATTCACTTATGTAAATGTACATATGACGTTTTGTGAAAAATTTTAAAATCTGTACGTGATGGAGAAAAATGGATATCACTTTCGGATTCAGCGTAGAACATGTTAAAATAAAACGAAGACAATAAAACCATTGCAGGCCTGTGTTATTGGGAAAATCAGTTAGATTAACAACTTTTAGTATATAGAAAAGCCAGTGTGTTTTGGTAACACTACGTTCCAACAATGGCTTTTTATGTCATGTTGCTTAGCAACCAAGGTATAACCTAATATTGATGTTAGTCTGTGTACTGAAAGTATAAAATGAAATGTATAGACAACAAAACTGGAAAAATATTTGTTGATTTCGTAATTTAGAGTCTCCGTTGATTAAAGAATTTTTTGTTATTAAAAACATTGGCCATGTAACAGAAAAATGCTTAATTCAGACACGGTTTAAATTTAAAATTGAATCGATATTTTTACTTTCATGATAAATTTTATGCACTTGGCTCTAGGCTAGGTGATCCCACACCACGTCTTTACTTTAGGCTTATTATACCAACACACACTATACTTATAAGGATTCACGGTCTTTCCCTCATGGTCCCCTTTCACCACCGTCACTAAAATTGTAATGGGCAGATAGTACTCAAACTATTCTATCTGGATAAATGAATTTTGGCTTTTATGACTCCTCCTCTTTCGAGAAATCAAGTGTGATGTGACACACACACACACTGGCCTTTATATAGGGTAAATGTCCTAGCTAAAACCAGCACTGTATATCACTGCCTTTTGGGAGTGTAAAATCATCTGATAGCAGTTAAATAGAAAAAAAAAACTGGAAAGACCCAATGCCTAAATTATTTTATGCATCGTGAAGGTAAAATAGACCCATTTTATTTCTCTTTTCACGCAGAAAGTCATTCGTCCAGTCTTTACTATTTTAAAAAATCAGTTTTATCAGCCACGTTGATTTCCTGCAATCGTAAGGTGATTTTTTTCTTTTACACATAATAATCAACTTTGATGATAAGTAGAAATGTTAAGTGAATATTTGTAAATGTTTGGAAGCTGAACACAAATAAAAGGCTAAGAATCATGTTAAGTGTATGAATTAGTCATACTCACGGAGAAATGTTAGAAAGTCAAGATCATTGTTGGATATACAAGACTATTCAACTTAAGAGTTATTAATTAGTTTATTTAGTGATTTAATATTTAATGACTATTTAGTTTTCATAACAAGAGTGTTAAAAGTTAATTATTTTATAAGCGATAGTTATGACAAGTTTCATTGTGTAACTTTGTACGTAAGTCGTTCTCGTTATGTTTAATATTTTTATTACTAGAGGGCTAGATATTTCTAGATTTTTCTATCGTGTGTTATAAATACGTGCATACACAGAGATGAAGTAAGTAAATTAGTGAAATTAAAAGTGAAAAAAGTTAAGTTAGGCTGCATAATTGTCAGTTTAGCTATAACAGGCGATTTCTAAAGTAAAAGTATCATAGCTTTTATTGTAATAAATGATAGAGAATAATGATTTGTTTTGTCATGTGTGTTCTAAAGTAACTGAACCAACTTATGTGGACTTTTGACGTAAAAGAAAATTATTTAAAGCTCTGAATGCAACTGTGGCAACCCATGGGGTAACGTAAGTGAATTTATCACTGATTGTATTGTGATAACAAATGAGACAAGTAATAAATTGTCTTGCCAAAGGGTGTTATAAAGTAATTGAACCCGCCTGTGTTGACACTTTAACGAAAGAAAGATAATTATTTAAAGCTCTAGATACAACTGTGATAACCAATAGTGTGGCGAATCTTTGTATATACGTTTGACTTCTTTTGAATATATTATTTTAAAAGAAGTGGGTCGTGTGCTGTCCGTTTATTGTTGAAATTTATCGCCAACAAGTCACATACACTTATTGTAAAGAATCCAGCCTTATAAAACCTGACAATCATATGAGTGTTTTAATTATATAGACGAATGACTTCAAAAGGAATGAAATTGGATGGCTGCAGAGATTCCAAGAATCAGAAAGTATTGAGAGTGAGGAACCTTGTTAACCTACGGAAACAATCTTAAAACAGCACATATATAACAATAAAAGTGTATTTATAAAACAAATCTTATAACTATAGCCAGATATTGTTTAAAAAACAACTCAACTCACCTTTTATGAAGTGTTTGATTAAAAAATACGTATTTTGACCCAATAAGGATATTATGACTACCAGAACTATGGTATCTGTCTGCTGTGAAAAAGTATAAACTGTTTGATATCTTTCTCCTGGGATACTGAACCAAAATAAAATCTATATTCCGAATATTCTGCAATATTACTGTGCAGTGGCTCACAATTTTGTCTAGCTATTGATTGTTGCGTTTGCTAAATTACAAAAGTTTAAGTTTCTGTGGCTTTGCATGAGATTATAATTAAGCGCGAGAGCGTGAGATCAAGGTTGATTGCATGAGACCTGGATTATCTGCTGACAGAAGCTGAAACTGACCAACAGCTGATGATAAAGCCCGACCTTAAAAACCATTTCCCAGATCACAACCTAGTTTGGAATTTGAGGTGGTCGATAAATCAATTTTTTAAAATAAGGATACACTTATTTGTAACAAGATGTTCTGTGTTTAATCATCAATGAAGAAAAATAAAATATATCTGAAATAACATGATAATTTTTTTCATCTGGACGAAAATAAAAATGTTTTGGCTGCAAAGTTTTTATGAGTTCATGGATAGTGGGAAACAAATAAAATTTAACTTTTAACTAAACGAAGAAAATGTTTGCCATCAACCGCAAGAGACAAAATCTACGAAAACTATAACTTGTTGCGAGTTAGGTAGAAAATATTTGTGGATTAGAAATTTCTGTAAGATAACTGAAATGATAACATTTTATAACACATTTTCTATTAAATA